TAGTGACGTCAGACTTAACGACCGGATTAACACAATGCCAAAATGTTCCAAGGAGTGGACTTGCTGGTAAATTCACCCAAAGGACAGACCTTGACCTAAGAGCAAGTGAACAAAACTCCAGAGCCTCTTGAGTCTGAGCTCCATGTCAGACACATTTAGCATGTTAAATGTTGATGTTCATGGCAGGACTATTTGAAAATAGTGATCAAGTATGGTTTCTTTGAAAGTGTTGCCAGTAGAAAGCCAATTCTCTCTAAAAACAACATGGCAGCGTGACTTATGTTGGGAAAGTTAGATTGGAACAAACTACAAGGCTTCTGAAATTATGTTCTTTAGACAGAGGAGACCAAAGTGGAGCTGTTTAGTCAAACTGCACAGCACCACATCCGGCAAACACAGATAACAGTTTAAAAACCTCATACCAACTGTGAAGCACTGTGATGCATGTTGGTGGAGGGGTGATGATTTGGTTTGTTCTGTTGCTAGACCACCTGGGCACCTCACAATCATGGAGTTAGTCATGAATTTCTGTGTGTACCAAGTATTCTAGGGTCAAACGTCAGGCCTTCGGTCTGACAGCTAAAGCTTGAGGGAAATTTGATGAAACAGGACAATGAGGCCAAGCACACATAAAAACAAGGAAAGAACCAAGGGGTTGCAAAGGCCAAATTGAAGTCCAGATCTCAACCTACTTATAATGTTTTTGTGGAACTTAGCAGAGCTCTGCGTGTTAACCCTCAATGAGCTAAAGTAATTTGTAAACAAGAGCGGACCAAAATATATCCACAGCAATGTGAGAGACAAATAAATTCATTCAAACAACAAATATGTCACATTATTGCTTCTAAAAGTGGTTTTAAGCTACTGAATAATGTACTTAGTGTTTCACAGGATTGCATAGAGTGGAAACTTTCATTTTCACTTGACTGTATATCCTTCAGTATTATTGTCGCCCTGACAGATGTTTAAATTAGATATGTTCTTTAGTTTTAATATCGCCTCCAGAGAAAACCTCACAAGGCAGCATTTCTGCCCTATGTGTTTGGCTTTGCACAGTTTTAACTTGCATTTTTAGATTCAGCAACAAACCAGTTTGTACACCGTGTCTGAACTTCAGAAGTGTTCCTGAGTCGGCACAGTAATTTCCAATACTTCAAGGATGCTTTCTTTATACCCAGTCAACATAATAATTAACCACAAGGAATGAGGTTAATTAACTCGGTTTAATTTAGTGTGTTTTTCAAAGGAAACAATATCATTTCTCAGTTTCACTTTTGCCTTTATACTAAGGCGTTTAAATGTTTGCAGATCTCTTACATCGTTGGTTTATTGAAAATCTGGATTGTAATTAGAAAAATCATTTGTGTTCACTTCTTTACAGCGACTGACATGATTATCTACTGTTCTCCTCTGCTGTTTACAGGGCAGTGGTGCACATTCAGGTCAACGATGTCAATGAGTTTGCCCCAGTCTTTCGAGAGCCCCAGTATCGAGCAGCAGTGACAGAGGGCAAGATTTATGACAATATCCTGCAAGTGGAGGCTACTGATCAGGACTGCTCCCCACAATACAGCCAGATCTGCAACTACCAGATCACCACCACTAACACACCCTTCGCCATCGATCGTAACGGTGAGTAGAAGTTGGGGCGGAGTATTAAACACATTCGGGAATTTTTGTAATACTTGTCACAAAGAAGCTACGCTGTTACCGGTCATATTCAGTGCGCTGTAAGGTTTATTTTGAAACACTTTCCTTGAAACTTTTGTGTACCCATTTTCTCTCGAAGTTCTGCTTCACCTATTTCACTGATTTCCCACAAGTCCAAAAAGATCTTCCAAATCAAGTTTAAAGTTTGTTGCCTTCCCCTGGCTCTTCATCTGATATACAAAAGATGTAAAAACACATTTCTCACATAACGCCACAACACGCATGATCTGAAAATGCCATCCATCCGTACTCACTATAGAGCCATGGGAGAAATGAACACACATACCTGCATACGCTCTAGTAGAAAAACTTAATACTCTGACAGATATCTCTCCCTGGGGGCAAAATGCACTCTTCAGTCTTTCCAAGGACAAAGTCAAGCTTTGCTCAGAGAGCCATCACTCTCCACAAATCAGATCACGGAAGTCTGTGCACACACAAACATTATACACACACATACACACAAACACACACACGGAGACAAAGATAAATGCTAAAAAAAATCTAAGGACACGCTCACATACCCCCGCAAATTTACTTAACTTTGCTGAGTTGCTACTTGTACTTTGCTACATAGGTAGCTATTAATCATCATTCTCTAAACAAAAGTTAAATGTTATCATGAGCCACAAACTCAAATACGAAAATGCCCACAAAGTCTATTGTGAAATGTGGTTTCACTGTTTTTGTGTGTACTGACCTTCTGTCTTATTACCATTACAATTGTTCAATTTTAAATTGTGAATGTAATAATAGAACTTCATACTTAGAATGTAACATATCACATGAGCATACACTTTAACACTGGACTTACTGTGTCATATACTTTTTAGACAGGCAACTCAAATACGGCTGCTGCATTAGTGCCACCGAGACGCCACATAGACTCTTTTGCCTAAAATACAGAGATGAAAGGCACATTACTGTTTCAATTTTTACTACTGCCAGCAGAGAGTTCCTGACCGTTGAGGTGCTGCAGTAAAAAGGCTGACTGAGTGAGGTGTGGGCCAAACTGCTCCGTGAATGATACAGGAGCGAGGCTGCAGCCTGTGCACGCTCTCTCCATTTCAAGGGGTCTTGCTTAGCTATTGACCGCTGAGGAAAAAGGCATTGAGAGCTCTTGAACTCAAGAGTACCTGAGGGAGAGGAGAAGATGGTGGGAGAAAAGTGGAGGTTGCCTGTGAGAGAGAGAGTAAGTGGTGAGACTGGGTCGGGGACATAAGCACACTGCAAAGGATAGCAGGAAAAATCTAAACAAGCAAGGAAAAAACTAGTGATGTTGTAATTTTTAAATAGACCGAAAATCCCATAAAAACACAGGGTATTCTTTTTCCTAAGCTTAAAACAATCTCTTCCTTTGTACTGCAGATGCTTAAAAAAGTAAAGTAAACTTGCATTAAAGAAAGGAACTTGCTTGGTGGGGGTGCTTCGCCTCTGTTACCACTGAGACAATGAAATGCAATGCAGGCGGAACTAGAGAAATGACAAACTATAGGTTTTTGAAGCCACAAAACACTTCAGAGTGAACCTTTACCACTCTGCTGCTGCAACACTGATTTAGGGAAACAGTAAATACAGTATTCATGCTGTATTGCTGCACCAGGGGGGATGTTGCACTACATTCCATGCTTGCTAACATGTTGCTAATGTTAGCAAGCAGGTTAATGGTATTTTGATAAGATCCCATTGAATATGGTTAAATATGGGAGGGTTAATTTAGTACAGTAACACTAATTACTTGCTTTTCAGTTATTCCCACCCCAGGTGGATTGAAAGAAAATAAGATATGCTTTTTTTCCTGCACACTACAGTCAGATGATTTGTGTGCAGGAGAAGGAAAATGGTGGAGCAGTCTACAGCAGAGACTTTTACTGCACTATTATTTTTTATTGCACAAAAGGACAAGAGCTTGATGGCAAGGTGCAAACTCTGGCCAGGACAGAAACAACTGCGTTACAATGCTAACAAAGCATCTCAACAAGCAGCTTTAGCATACGTCTGGGTTCTTGGGTAGCTTTTTGTTGGCATGCTGAGTGCTGTCTTTAGCGGGTAACAAAAACAGTGATGAGCAGTCAGCCCATGTTTCTACCTGTTCAATCACCTCGAATATTGCTTTTAAGTCTCTTAAGACAACTTGTGTTGTTGGCTTTGTTTTCATATTGAGGTATATATTGCTTACTGGTAATTATGAGACGATGCATTTCAGGTCATTTTACGGACTAATGAAAAAGTATTTAACAAGGGGTAATTTAACAAGTACTGTAACAAATTACTTTTTTTTATATCAAGTAATGTGTCATACGTTACTTTTTTGGAGTAATGAGACAACACTGATAGCTACTGTATAGCCCTATAATCTACATCATAAACTACACCATAGCCTGATCGCCACCTTCGAAGAAATGGAACTACATGCTGCAGCCATGCAGATTTCAGCAGACCTCTGATAGCTCTGTATAGTAATAATACGCTTTGTAAACACAGTTTCGTCTGTCCTGTCTTGTTCCTGAAAAATGAGATTTTTTTGGCTTCGAGTCCAGCCTGAACACCTCCTTTCACTTGTAATGGCAGGGAAATGCAAATATTGTCCACTGTGCTAATGGGTCTGCTCAAATCATCGCAGTTTATTAGCTTGGTGACAAGTTTCATCTACAATCTGTAAACGTGCAACACCTGTTAATTATTCCAAAGTAACATACTAATAAAATACTAGAATTTCACACACTGAAAAAAAAAGGCCAGACTTTTTGGATGAGCTATATAATTACTGCATGCCAAATAATTTGTCACACCACATGTATGTTCAAGTGTTCCAGTCCAACGACTCAAATTAGCTGAGGGGAAACCTAGCAGCAGCTGCCAACACCAGGTACTTGTGCAGTCATCCCCTTGTCAAAGCACCCTAAATACTTCTAAGAATAAGTCGAATTTTGAATTTTAGCCCTCATCCTACCGACATAATTTACATACAGGGACTACTGAGTTGCATCCCTGGGGACCCCAAAAATAATTTACAATGAGAAGCAATTATCATAGCAAATAATAATAGCAAAACTTATGTCTTAAAGCATTATCAGTTATGCAATGACCATTGCATATTTTATAACATCAAAATCTATACTTGCCTTTAACAACTTGAAGCTTTTATTCCAAGGAGAAGGGCCTCCTCACCTTCTCCCCAAAGGACATTAACAAAGCACCTCACCTAGGAGGTGTCCAGGAGGCATTCTCGTCCAATGCTTGAGTCATCTGAACTGGCTCCATTGGATGTGGAGAAGTAGCAGCTCCACTCTGGGTCCCTCCCAAGTGACCAAGCTCCTCACCTAGTCTCTAAAGGAGAGCCCAGTCACACTTCGAAGGAAGTAAATTTCTGTATTCACCGTGTAATTTTTCAGTCCCTACACAGAGCTCATGGCCATAGATGAGTGTCAAAACATAGATTGCAGCTTTGGGGTCAGCTCTTGTTTCACCACAGCAGACTGATACAGTGTCCACATCACTGCATCTGTCAGGATCCGGATCATCACACCTGGATCATCACACCTGAATCAAATGATTAGTTCATTACCAGGGCTCTGGAGAACTTGAGGGCCCTTTCTCAATTCTTAACCTCTTAAGCCCCAACGCCCCCTGATACGGGGGCAAAAAGCAGTAGATCAGGTAGGCTTGGGGCTTAAGAGGTTAAGGGGGCGAGTACGGACTCGCGATTTGTACAACTGGAACACCAGCATACTTGATGATGTCACAGGTCCGGAGTTTTTACTGCCGTCCCCTCTTAATTTAACTGTGAGTAATATGTTATGAAGCTTAACTTTAATC